TTCCAACCGAGCTGGTCTAAAATACGGATGGTCTCCTGAGCTTGAAATTGTAGGCGGTGGGGGTCTTGACATGCAAGTAAATAATCGTCGAGGTATACAATTATACGAAAACCTTTCTGTCGTAGAACCTGTGCTACCCAATTTGTCAAGGTCGCAAAAATTTTTGGAGCACATGCTAGGCCAAAAGGTAGGCACGTCATTTGCCAAAGTTGATGTTTGTAAATTATTCTTAAGAAGCGACGATGCGTTTTCGAAACCGGTAGATGGAAATAAGCATTGGACAAATCTATTTTTACCAACCAATCTCGTGGTTGCAAGAAGGTTACGACTCTGTGCACATTTATGAGCTTGAATTTGTCCACAAATACATAATTGTTTAATCTTTTTAAATTGAATATTGGACGCATTGAGCCGTCGCTTTTCGGTGTTAGAAACATTTTTGAAACGAAACTGGGACTGGGAACTGCAGGTTCTAAAACTTCCATTTTCACTAATTGGTTTATAATTTTGTCCATGTCTTGCGACACTGGTGTTTGCGATAGATGATTGAATAGGTCTGGTACCGCTAATGGGGGCTTGGCTATAAATGGTATGCGAAAGTTCTGTACAATTTTCATTACCGTTGAAGGTGCTTGCAATGCCTGCCAATGATCTAAAAAATCTGGCAACCGGCCCGCTCGAAATTGGACATAGTCAATATTTTCTTTTTGACTGTCTACGAACATTTGACTGAGCAAATACCTTTCCTTGACCTCTGCCTGCGCTCGAATACATATCATGGCTTTGAAACGTTTGTGCGGGCCTCTGACGAGGTCTCACTTGCTGATTAAATGGTCTAAAAATGGGACGAGGGTAGTCGCGCCCTTGATTAAAAGAATTCCAAGCGCCTTGTAAGGGCGGCCTGTTGAACAAATCCATGGCAGGATAGGTAGTATAATTCAAATTACTGGGCATTTTAGTTGAATAATTCAAAGCATGACTAGGCATGGCCTGAGCCTGCTGTTGGGGCTGAGCTTGCGCAGCAGCTTTATTTTGTGAAGGCGCTCGGAGCGGCCAAAATGTTTTCGATACACCACCAGCCGTTTCAATAGCCGTAGAAAATGATTGTTTATGAAATAAATTCTCGCTAGTTGGCGGGATTTTACGCAAACTCGCCTTTAAAAAGTTATCTTTTACAGAGCGCAAAATGTTATCACGTCTTTGTTGTACTAATTCGGCCCTATGACCACATGCTAACTGCAAAACATCACTACTGATTTTTTGAAAATGACCTTTCACAAATAATTCATTAATTTTTTCGTGCAAAGACTTGGCAGAAACATTACCCGCAGAAGTGGCCCAATCCATTAAACTTCTAAAAGATTCTTGTGCGGTTTCGTTCTGCTTTATGAGGGCTTGCGTAATAGCAGCGAAGCCACACTCGATAAGCGCGAGAGAATTGTTTTTATCGTAAGGTCTAATTTCATCGTTGGTTTCTAAATAAGTAAAACCCAGAGAGGAGCAGTATTGTTTCTGTACTTCAGCATACCGTACATTATTCCAATCTTCAGTATTAAAATGTTGTATGGAATTTAACAAATCTATATGAATCCGTGAAGATTTTTGAATAGAAGGTTCTTTCAAAAAAGTGTTTAAGGAAAATTTTAAAGTACCCGGCAAATCGGAGATTTGCGCCGGTTCTTGTACACAATTTTCACTGTTGTATAGTTCACCACTGACATCTGCACTGATATCGGGTGCAAAGTCTACATTTTCATTTGGATCGGGCACATAAACGCTTGAATGACATGTAGGTTGGAATGCACCACTACTAGTAGCAATATAATTTTGTATACCACTTACTTGTTCCGCCAAATAGCGTAAAGTATCCTCCATTTGGTAACGACGGCGTTTATTACTACGTTCCTTTGAGTGCGAACGATTTCTTTTCCGTTGCTTATTTATCTCCGGCGGAGGCAGACGGGGTGGCACTTCGGCGTTGGTCTCTACTGTTCTAGATCGCTGAGAATCCGAGCTCGACGAGGAAGAATCGGACGAATCCGATAAATTGACTTCCCTCGTACCATTCATAATTTAACAAATTAACGAACGATAAAAACCGTTAAGAATTTTAATATAATTATGGACACAACTGACTACTATGGAAAACAAATCGCCAATGAGCCAGGGCGCGAAAACACAATCCCGTTGTGAGTGTGCGCCACCTGGTGTACAGTAGCAGAAGCTAGATGGTGGGGGATGTAGAAGGGAAATTCGAGCTAAAACTGACACACTACCGGAAATCAAGTTCGCTACTCTAAAATATTTAGGCTTCAAATAACGGTTCAAAAGCTTAATACGGTCATAGTTAATGTCATGTCTGTCTGTTTTAAAAATCAAGGATGTGTCATCAGCAAACAACACTATTTCGCAATGGTCCTTAACAAAGAATGGCAGATCATTAATATAAATCAGAAATAAGAAAGGTCCAAGTATTGAGTCCTGCGGAACACCCATTTTTACTGGAGAACCCAAAAATGTTAGACAGCTGATTCATATTGTGTGGACACAATTTTTTTAACAAACTACGCACTTAAATAATAATAAGGTTCACGCAAAAATACAGGGATCTACGGTACTTAAAAGGATTCTTTTTATCACTGCGTATAGAAAAAAGGTATAATAAGCAATATACTACACGTACATTCTACTAAATTGCATCAATGTTCTCAATTGAGCTTACAAATATACTTTGCTTTACTAAATATAAATAATAAACCACGATTAAAAATATTTATCCACGTTTTTGGATAAATATCGAGTAAATATATGTGTGTATATATTATATATTATGTATTTATGTGTATATAGGTTGCTTATATAAGTATATAGTTAGTCATATAATATTATGTGCTATATTTATATTGTGTTTAAACTATATATCATAATTATTTATAAACTTCTTCCTATCTGTTTTAATTATCATGTTATCGTTACTGCGCGTGCAAAACCAAATATAGGACTCAAATTGAAAGTGTAGAACACAGACATAATATCTGTGGTGTAGAACATCCTTATAGGGATTGGCATGCTGATTCTTTCTGAAAAAAATGGCGGACTTTTCAAGTTACAAGTACAGTTTTTACAAAGATTATTTTCATTTTAAGCATATTATGCAGAAAATACGAAGAAAGAAATAGTGATGAAAGTTAGAACCATATCCCTTATTTTAAATCAAATTACAAAAGTCTTTATCCTGAAAATTCGACTAATTACGAACTCAAAGTTTTTGTTCAAAGTGGCAATAATGTGATTTGTTAAGTGAAAATGAAAACATAAATATTGACTCCCGCCGCTTAAAAGACTATTTAGAAAATCCAAAGAAGAAAACTAAGAAGAGAAAGTGAAAACACAATGTATTAGAATCACAGTGGAAAATATTTATTGAGGATCCCGATAATAAAACGAACGAACGAAGCTGCCAGTTGCTAAAAAGTAAAAATTAAAGAAAAGTTACATTTTGGAAGATCAGACTTCACACTGTGAACAAAGCCTATCAAAAATGGTGATACCACGTGACCTATGTGGGGGGCTATTCTCGATCTCCGTCCGAAACAATTACTGTCAAATAAGTAATATTCGACAAAATTAAAAGACAAGTATCCCGTATGAAGCTTCATTCGCATTATGCGTCTTTTCATTTGGTGAAGTATTGCTTATTTGGTAGTAATTGTTTCGGACGGAGATCGAGAGTAGACCCCCTGTGCCGGACATTCCCGTGTTAGGCATGCTTGTGTCGTACGTACAGTCAAGAGCACATCAAGCTTAACACTTTGTACTTTGGACCGTTCTTATTGTAAGCGGCATAGAGTTGGATTTAAGTCTTAAGTGTCAACCGTGACGTGCTCTTGACCCTGTACGTTACGTTGTTATACACGCCAGCACATCAAACTACACTTTGACGTATCTTGTTCCGTTGCACTGGAGGCGATTTTCGAACAAAAATGTGTAGTCTGATGTGCCGTTGTCCGTACATTGACAGCCCCCGATTTTTTCGACATGATATTTAATCTATCTTGCCACCACACCATATTTCACAGTTATTCAATGCACAAATTAGAAAGATATATTCAATGTGCTCGATGGTTAGTACAGAGACGTATTATGTCTATTGGTTAGTATTTGTTAGGGCGTCATGTGATACTATAGAATAATCTACCAACTTAAATTGTATTGTATGCTTCAACTGTTACATGCAAATAAATTATTTGACTTTGATTTTGTTTTTAAAAAGGTCCTTTTCTAGCAGTGTTGCCAGATTAGGCGACTTTTCGCCATTCAGGTTACTTCGAGTGGTCGCGCATCGACTAAAAAAGTGATCGGCGCGCGACTCAGCGATATTTAGACTATATTTGAAATAGAAAAAGGCGATTTTAGGCTACTTAATAAAATATCACAAATTTGATTGGGGATTTTGTGGGAATTTAGTTGTAAAATAAATCATTTGCGGGTTTGAGTATTTCTATGTGGAATTGAGGAAATAAAAGAGTTCATATTCCCCAATGTCCGGCAGCAAGCAGAATTGTAAAGTTTTCCTTGATTTTTAGGGATTTTATGGCTTGGGCGAATGTCGGCTACTTAACACACATAAATTGGCGAATTAACTTCGCAAAAGTCTGGCAACACAGTTCTCTTTTTAAGATCTGTGATTCGCTCTGGACCTTTTGGAGGGAAAAGTGTCGTTTTTAGTTTGACTTTCAATTATTTTGTGAAATCTAGTTTAAAGTGGAATAGGATAGTGCTATTGTGCCTTAATCGAAGATTAAAACGCGAAATTATTCGAATCTCGAACTAAAATACCCGCATCGGCCCGTTTTAAGGTATCAATCCAAGCACGCCGCTTTAAATTGCCTATCCTCTTTGTGGCGGCCATATTTACAGAAACTAATTAAACTTCATGTTTAGGCTGATGGCTTTGCCAAAGCCTTAATAAATTTAAAAAAAAAAAGATCTGTCAAGTCAACCCGCAGCTGTGCTGTGTGCTGTTTTTTTATGCTTTCTCATAGTAAGTATTGTCGGTAATGTACTAACAATTTCAACGCAGTGCTGTTATAAGATAACAAACTACGTGAATTCTAAACAGAGTTATTTTCTGTCATTGAAGCCGGTGGAATGGCGAACGCGAAGGATCGCGACGAACCTGTAATTCAGGCACACCAAAGTTTCATGAAAAAGGACTACAATGCTGCTTTACTACATCTCAGCGACTTAGAGAACGCTGTTGGATCACCTAATAAAAGAATACAGCACAATAAAGCGGTGGTAGATTTCATGTCCAGCGATATGAAAAACTTGGAAAAATTCAAGAAAACTATTGTTCAGCTCATTGGTGTTACGTTCCCGGACGTTGAAATCAGTGATATTAGTTCTCCATGCTTGCTTTACAACTACGCGGTAATGTTATACCACTCTAGACATTACTACCAATGTGTTGTTATCCTAGAAAAGTTACTAGGAGCTAAGAGCAATATAAGAGATGTGAAATTGCTACAGCAAATTACTCTTCTACTTATGGAAGCTACATTATGTAGGCGCACATATGACAAGACATTAGAAATAGCTAAAAATCATGGAGAGGCTGTTAAAGCAAATAATGAAATTGCTGAATTGTTTGAAAGGCTTGTAAACAGAGCACAGCTATGTCTTGGACAAAAAGTGAAACTTAACTTAAAAGCTGACTCTGTAGAGAATATATTTGTCATCGCTCAACAACAATACTTAAATGGAGAAATAAAGGAAGCTGCAAATACTCTCGGACAGTACCGTTCATTGAAATATAGTTACAATCTCAAAACTCAAGGTGAAGATATATGGGCAGCTATTAACAATAACCTTGGAGTTATTTACTTGTCTACGAAGAAACCATTTTTAGCTGCAAAGTACTTCCAACATGCCGTGAAAGAGCATTTCAAAGCTATGGAGAGTGAGGATAGTGGAAGACTGATTACATGTAGAGATCGTCCTCTCTATGTTTATAATCTAGGTTTGGCATTACTAGCTGCAAATAATTCTGAAGGTGCCTTCGAATGTTTGGTAGAAGCAGCGAGACACTACCCTAACAATCCTCGTATCTGGCTTCATCTAGCAGAGTGTTGTGTCAAAAAATGTTGCAGTGATGAAGCACAACAGTTCACTGTCAAAAAATTAGGCAGTGGCCCGCATACCCGAATCCTTTTGTCAAAGGAAAATAAGGAAAAGTATTCCACTTCTGGGGAATCATTTGCCATACCATCGCTATCACTGGAATTTGCTGCATTATGTCTAAGAAATGCAGTTACTCTTTTGCCGAATCAAGAGCCTCCAGCAGAAGTTACTGCACCACTTATTCAGGCACCCCCTGGTCCACCAATCAACTGGAAGCAACGTTGCAAACTTAAAAATGCGACATTTGTCCTCCAAAGTTACGTATTACTCCACTTACAAGATCCGCTTTCGGCTTTAATGAGCGCAAATGAACTATTAGCTCAGCCAGATGTGTCTAACAGTCACAAAGCTTGGGCTCACATCTATGCCGCAGAGGCTTTGATAAATCTCGACCGTATTACTGATGCTGGAGAGCACTTACATCCACAAATGATACACGAATTGGTATCAGTATTACCATATCAAATGAGAGACATGATTGCCGTATCTGTATGGGCTAAAACTGCAGTCTGTAACATCCTCAGAGGAGATTTGGTGACGGCCAGAAAGATTTTACTCCAAATAAATTCACCAAGGGTTTTACCATTGCAGATGTATTTAGAAATCTGCACTGGTAACATTGATAATTGTCATACAATATTGAGAAAACTTAGGTTTAGTAATTTGTCTCAATAGCTAAATAAAGTGTGAACATAACAACCATCTTTTTTTTTTCATGAATACCTTTGTGTACAGAGACCCACACACTTGTGTCATACGAACTGTTGAAATTATCAATGAAAGCCTTTCTTTTATTTTTTTTAACACTTACTTTGTGGAAGTTAATTGGCCGTCCATAAGAACCGGAAATAGGTCAATCTCGGATCTGCTTACACAGCAAATTAAGAGTTCATTCAATGAAAGTTAACCATATGTAATAAAAAAAATCACCACATTTTTTTTCATGTGTTTAAGATTCAGTAATAAAACATATTAGCAAAATTAAAAAATTCTCCACTTTCTGGTTTAAAATGTTAAAATTTCTTGAAACGCCATGTGTATGTCAACGAAGCTCAAAGTCGTGATGACATAAATCAAACATTATTGGTGCATTTGACACTTTAAAAAGTGACCGTGCAAAGCTTTGAAAATTATAGAGATTCATTATGACAAATAAATAACGGGCCAGCATATCAACCTGGAAATTGAATCCGGGATTTCCTTACCAGTGACCACAGAGCTAACCGTTCGGCCCAACAATGTAAATAAACTTGCGCGCTAAACTCCTGCTCACATTGCTATGACAATAGTGTTGTGAAGGTGTCTATTATTTGTCGGGTGTCAATATTATTCACAATTTGTCAAAAAACTTTCATACTTTATTTGTCAAGTATTTTCAAATACTTGACAAAAAAACCGTACTCGAAAAGAAAACCCTATTTTATATTTCTGTTATACAGGTGCTCCTTTAAAGTGGTCAGTGGATTTTGTATCACTGATATTAAAATTTATTGAAGAAATAGTGATCAGTTTGCTACATCTTCTCTGTGGAATCAATAATGATAGTAATAAATTTATTTCTCTCCACAAACAATTTACACAGGTTACAATTGTTGGCTCAAAAACAGAATGACTGGTGCATATTCAAAAATAAAATAATATTGAAATGTGAGAATTTGTATACTTGCAATAAGGCACACAACAAACTAAACAAGGGGTAGACTAAGTGGGAAGATCCAAATTTAATTTTCCTGCATTTAAGTTGTCTGAAGAATTTAGCAGCTATCATAAAACAATTATAACAAAACACCACTCAATTGTGATAATGTTTTTATTAGAAATTACATTAAAACTAAAGGTCAGGATGTAAACGACTTCTAACTTTTTTAGTTGACCGTTCAGCAGGTCGTACACACAAATGTTTTCCAAACAGTGTAATTTTTAAATTTTTCACCGTCATTTTAAATACACATTGCTTTTTAGGTATTGTTGTCACTATATTATCCTTGGACACAATTTTAAAAGTGTTCCTAGTGTCCATAATGCAGATTCCCTCTTTAAATACGTAACTTGCACATTTTGAACGCACTACTTGTAAAAAACTCCCATGAAAATCGGCCTTATAAAGAGTCTGTGCGAAATTTTCCCACCCGTTACTATTAATACTAGGCAGAGGTTTATGCAATTCTAATATTTCACTCATATAATCCGTCCAAATTTGATGCATTGGTAAAACATCTTCATATTTGACACTGTTTCTAGGTATATCATAAAAACCAAGTGCTTTCTTTTCTGTCCTGGTTAGACAACGAGTTTTCTTCCTTTTAGGCTTCTTTTTGCCAGTTTTACTTCTTTGTTTAGCAAGTGTAAAGTCTTTTTTTAGTTCAGCTTCTATATTTGGTACATCACCTTTTGGTACATTGTCTTTAAGGAAGTTTATAACAGATTGGGTAGCTTCATTTCCAAGTGTTTCTTCTGCAGACATGATCGTCGATATTTCTTCATTTATAAAAAGTAATTATGTAGCATTTTCGGGGTTACGATCAACTTTGTTGAGATATGAAGATAACCCAGTCACATGACCAAAACATAACCTTAATCGATCTTTGCCAATCTTTGCTTTAAAAGACGGAATAAAATGACATTTGTAGGGTTGCCAGTTATCGTAAAATTTTAAATAGTTATGTAGTTGTTGTCGACAGTTTTATCGGTAGATTGTAAAAGAAGGATGGCGACATCCCGTGTATTTTGTAACCCAGTTTTTTTGACGACATGCATTAAAGAGACCTATTAATACTTGAGTTTCATTATCAAAGCATCAAAAAAGCGAATTGAGTACAGCCTGTACAAGCTGGGGGTTATAAATTTGATATAGGTTTATAACAACTTCCTGTATTTCGCTTCAGATATTTGTTCGTAGTAGCAGAAAACCACAAGTATTCATTTTATTCCTAAAAATAATAAAGAACTTGCTGAATATTTCTAAATCTGCCAAACTCTGCCACTTTTAATACAACGTAAAATAAAAAATTAAATAAAATTAAATCTGCCCAAATGGCAGAAATGGTCACATTGTTCTCAATCCCAAAGTGACATTGACATTGGCAAGAGGCCTCTTGTCAAAACATTCCTTTGCTAACATTCGTATCTCTCATTTAAATATTGTCTAAACGTTTTTGTCACATCGTGTCTTATTTTTTAATTTATATAATTATTGTTTAATTGATTATTTGTAGGTAGTATTAGGTAAGTAAACATTCAATCATGCTTAAAATGAAACGTACGTACAAGAACGTCACCTAATCTATGGTCGAACTGAATCAATTGCTTTGTGTTCTTGCATCTATTCTAAAATACATTGATTTGCAATTTCTTTATTCCCGATTTCTAAAAATATATAAAAATATATTAATAACTAGGCATAAACTAAAACGTAAAATTATACTAGCAAAGTCCATGAACGACACTTTGTTGATTTTGGATCAGCTTTCGCCATCCTTCTTTGCCATTGTGAATGTCACGACGTTCTAATGATTACGTACTAATTTCGTTATTGCTTTACTTATTCTTATTTTGACAGTGGGCTTACTCGTATCGAAATCAATTTTTATTTATATACGTTTTATAGTAAGAACAGGCAGATTTGGTTTCTATATTGAACTACAATGAAAAACTTTAAAACATGTCTCCTCTTTGTATTTTTAATAGACATAGGTCTAAATGTGGTGTATGTATAGATACGTACGTATGAACTCCAAAAAAATTGAAAATTCAAATGAACCTGTGCTCACCAGTTGAGCTAATAATGTGTCGATGATTCAAATGAAACTAGTTGGACAATTTATTGCATAAACGCGACCAACATTCAACGATAGAATATTAAACCTTATCAACTGCACTCACTAGCTACTTGTAAGCGGGCAACACTTTCGCACAACAACTGTAATTTACTCCATCTCCAAAAAAGACGGACTGTAAATAATTTAATAAGTGCTCTGTGCCTAGTGCCAACACTATCATGGAAAATTTTTATTTTCAAAAGATCACATTTTTCAATAAAATAAATATTTTTCCTTTGACTTCCACGTTTGAAGTTGCTTGTTGTCAAAAGTTACTGAACGGAAACAATGGAGACATGAAAGGCTTTTTTCGCTGATGTGAAATCATTTGAAATCTATTTTTTCTACTAAGTGGCTTTTACATAAACAAGTTTATTTTATAATTCACGTTAAATTAATCTTCAAATATTTCTAAACGTAGAATATAATTAGAGCATTCGAAACATTCGAAACTATATTAAATTGGAAAATTTCTGGAAAAATTTCCACTCAGTTTTGAAATATTTCGAAAAATACCTAACAGTATCTGTGCCTAACTCTGAAAATGAAAAAAGTAGGTATAATATTATAAAAACGTGCGTGGAGCCAATAATTAGTGATGCCATGATGTGATGATGAATCTACGGAAAACAAAATAATAGCAAATCTACAGATTTTTGTTCCATCCACTCAAACAATAGTATAAAAAAATAAAATGGTGTGTAAAACGAAACGCAACGGAAAAACGACAATCAACTTGTAGATGTTTACAAGAACGGTCCAAACCAAATTTGTTGGTATATATTTTAAGCCTTCGAAACAATGAATTTATTGCAAACCAAAATTCCAGACTCACGAAATTCAGCCGTTAAGTGGCCAGCTCGATCATGTGACTTTTTATAGACCACAAAATTCTCCTTTAAAAACAGTTAAGATTAGTTAACATGTTCGATTTATTCGAACTTATCCTAACAATGCATAGCTGAATTATCATTGAACAATTTCAATATTCTAAACCTAGGTTAGGGTGTTTTATGACATCTCAAAAAATTATTCCGTTCAGTTAGCGGACGGCAGATTTGACCTCCATCTCATGTGATGTAAAGTGACGATGAGGTTGACGATGGAGCATGCATACCAAAATAATGTCTATTCACTCTTGCCTTGAAAAGACCCAAGTTATAACGTTCAGGGAGGAAGTCTGCAGGCAGGAATATAAACGTGGAAGCGTTAAGCTTCGTGCGAAACTTTGGAATATCACATCATCATCACACAACATAGGGGTGGAACCCAAGCCTACGCTAGTCCCCCGGTGATGGAAAGGGGAAGGCGGTATTAAATCGTGTAATCCCGTCGCTCACTCTCCACCTGTAAAATAGGTGGATCCTATTAATTATTAATATCAATATCAGTTAGTTGATTTCAATTATTGCCATGATGGTGGTCACTACAAAGGCTTGAACCAGTGTCAGTTTTACATGAAAAATATTTGTCATTGTAATAAAATAAATCAAAATTTGACGGTGTATAGTTTTTTCCAGTTTTCTATGTCTATGTTTTTTCGGTAAAGCAGCTTTTTAGCTACAAAACAATTGTAATCTGAGTTTAGTAATTCTGAAATATCATGGACAGGTTTATTATTTATTTCATATTTTACAATGTCCTTAGTGTTAAATACGAATGTAAAAATAACTATATTGAAATAATATCGTAAAATTAGTGTATTAATAAGTTGACTGTATATTGTGGTGTAACTTTCAGTGATGAAGACAAATTGGGTATTCCCCCGGTAGTGTTTTGCCCGGGTTATATCAGAGATAATAAATTGCTGGATTTTTATGGAAGGTAGTAAAAGGGTGTCGTCACACGAGTGGCATTTAGACTGCACCCATATGCAACCAGCGTATCGCACCTCCGTTAAAACACAGACTTAATTGCAAAAAATTGTGCTTCCAAACCATTTTTAAAATGCAATTTATACGGATAAACATACTCATTATACGTTCCTTCATTTTTCTATAGAGGGCGTAATGCGCATAGTAAGCACTTCAAGTGTGCTCAATAGCCATATAAAACTTGTAATTCATTTTCTGTAAATTTTATAAATGTAAGGTGTGGCATACAGTCGCCTTCGGTTGAAACTTCTGTTTTATAATATAATAAATAATAATAATGTGACAGACAACAACGCGTTATGTTTTGATTCTATTCATATCAATGTTCGTTCAAGTGACATGAGAATACCAATTTTGGATAGGACTTCGATCGAACGACTTCAACGATAGACGATCGTAACGACTAATGAACGACATCTTAGATAGTGAAATTTGACGTTTAGAATCGATTTAAGTTCCATTCGCATACCAGAATACGCTTTAACGACATTTGGATCGAACGACTTTAAAATTGGACTCGTTGAAATTCGACTGTCACACGTGAATACCAAGAAGCAGTTCAACGACTAAATCGCTACGATATCGTAACGGTTTGATTATGTGAATCGCACTACTGGTCTCAGCTAGGTAATTCCCTGTACGATGAGTACCAGAGTAACAGAATTATCTCTGGGGCACTTGTCAGAATAGCGAATTTAACTTTTCTAAAATGGTTGTAATTTTAGAAAAGTTAAATTCTCAACTTGGTTCTACCGGGAATCGAACCCGGCTCCTCCTCTTCCAGTGTCCACTGTAGTGTAACCCTGCCACTTCACGCACACATTTGCGCGTGTGCAGATAGCGCCTTGCTGTATGTAGTAGTAGTAGGCAAATAACTTTCGATCGTTGTAGGAAGTGTTCGGAGTGTGCCCATGTATATAACTGCATATAGTCGATTCTGACTGGGAGCAGTTAGCGATGGGACGAGTTGTATTTGTTTCAACTCGAGTTGTAACTCGAGTTAACTCGACTAGGTGTTTGACAGAGCAACCGTGAGTCGCAAGTAGAACTCAAATCGACGATTCACCGAGTTGGACACGATCGGCCGGCCGACCGTGCTCGAGCGTGACCGAAGGTCACCGAACCGACCGACCTAGCTCGAGTTCACAAAATGTAGCTCGAGTTGACTCGTTGTGGGAGTAACTCGAGTTAAATAACTCGACTCGCCCATCGCTCGCGACTCGAGCGTGTTCTGAAGGTCACCGACACGCAGTATGAATGAAGTATTCGGTTCGGCGGGTGGCTGGGCGGGTTAACCAGGGTTAACCGAGTTAGCTTGAGTTCATCAAAAAGTAACTCGAGTTGACTCGTTATAAATTGAAGTCTCGACAGTATGCATTAACTGTAGACATGCATTCCTTCAGTCAGCAGCCTAAATAATTGTTATACGAATTAATTCTTTAATAATAGGATAACAGGTGACCATTATTACGATAAGATTGCTTACGTCGAGACGTAATATTAAGACAAGATATATCAATTCATTACAAAGTACTTGTGGATATCACAAACTAATAGGAGTTACTACGTACGTGGTGGATATTAATAAAAGTTAGTTGCCATGATAATGAGGGTAATACTGCTACTAAAAATTATTTTTTTCTATACCTGTATTCGGATACACGCAAATCGTAAATTGCTAGTCAATTTTTTTTTGAGTTTGTGGTATGCGTAATCAACGACAGTCGGAAAAAGGTGTTCGACATACATAGATACACGTATAGATATAGCTACAAAGAGCGACATGGAGTTGTTAAAACTACCAAATAATAATTAATTAC